TTTTCAGAATATGAGGAACAGTTAACTTTCAAAATAAAACTTCCTGTAAGGACAATAGGTCATACTGCATCTGTTAGAGAAGGTATTAGATTTGATATGATGCAAGAGATCACGTGTACAGTTGGTTGTTAAATCTCTCATCCTAGACAGTTTTAACTTCAATGAAGCAGAATAAAAAACAGGGTCTCTCAAAAAGACAGAAGCAATAAAGTATTTATCAGTATTAACATTTTCTATGTTTTGTGCCTCATGATCTGGAATAAAAATTGACTGAGAGTTAGCTCCATTTCTACGGAAGAGGATTAGGGCCACTGGAAAAAAAAAGTTAACTGATTTTTAAATTTTATTTCAGTTTAACATAGGAAAAAAGTCAGAATTCTGACTTTTTTCTCGGAATTCTGACTTTTTTATCAGAATTTTGGATCTTAATGTAGATGGGCACCATGAAGGAAGAGATGTCGGAGCACTCAGCTTCACTGACAAAGATGTGAGTTGTTTGAGAGGGCCAGTGACACATTGGTGGAAAATAACGGAATTAGGCAACTTTTTACGTGCACGAGGGGTCCCCTCATTAATGGAGAGTAACTGTAGAGTAAAAGTTAACCAAAAAGAAACTAAACACAAAACTGAGCTAGTTCTGACTCACCTGAGAGCCCAGAATTGACCAGTGTTGGGTGTTGATGGCGACTTAGGCTGTGCCCGAACATCTGCCCTAACCCCTAAATCCCTCAATCACTATATAGAGCGGGGAATATATAGTGGACTTTATAGGGAACTCAGTTAACAGGCCATTCAAACAGATGTTCACCATTTTTCGCTCCCCATAGGCCACATGACTCTGGCTCCCCGCATGGTGTTTGTGCCATCTTTCTTCTTTCTTGCCCCCATAATGCTTTTGTTCGGACACACATTTAAAATGGCATAACCACTATACAGTGCTCTACACAGTGGGTAGGGTGGACATTCGGACCCAGCCTGAGGCTTTGCTTTCCATATTAAAGCTACAGGCTCAGCTACTCACACTGTAGCTGTCCCTGGATTACATAAAAGAAGATTAGCATCCCTCACAGCTCTGTGCTGCCTCAAAGTACAGCCCTGCTCTTCTTCCAACAGGTGCAGTTAGGTAAATCTGCACCAATCAGAATGACATGGTAGAAAGTGTTCAGATAGAAGCTCTTTGGCATAAAGTATTACTCTTGTATTGAATAAAATTTAACTTACACTTAATCTGATCAGAATTGGAGCTTCTGCATGATATTCCCATCAGCCCTTTACTCCAAACACCTATATTCATGTAAACATCTCTACTGTTTATATATGCTACTTATTTTTCTACCTTCACCTTCCAAAGCCAACATCTACATTGAAAATTTGGCTTAGAGAAAATCTAATATGACTTAAAAAGATGAATAAATATAGATTACATGTACCCGTTTTCCACTGGCAGAAAAAACCCAATTAAACCCGGGAACAATCGGTTTTCAGTAGCAGCGAGAACAACTAATTGACCCGCATAGACCTGGGTCAAATGCCTTGGCAAGCGAACTGGGTTAGAAAAATAAAAAATGGGAGGGGAGCCAAATGCCAATCATTATCTGGTCGACCTATGTTTGAAAAACCTGTGTTAACCCTCTAATTTCACTGGGAAAGAGTCTATTGCAAACATACTTGCCGGTTTATTATATTCAGTGGCTCACAAGGTGCTCCATGTTTTTCACCATGTTTTCTTTAACTTTTTTTTAAAACTATTTTTGGATGCACCATGTATACTTCCACAGACTTTAGAGTTTAGTTACACGTATGTTGTTACTGTTGGTGAATAACAAACTGATGAGGAGAATCCAAAACAGCACCACCTTAAGTCCCAATATGCTGGTAACTATGGTGAAACACATAAGTGGATGCTATCTGCAATTTAACCACTAGATGACAGCAATTCTTAAACTTTAAAGTCTGTCTTTACCTCAGTCTTCATGCATTTTCAGGGGTGATCTTTTAGTTAGTCTTTAGAGGAGGATTTAGATTTCTGCTGAGCCTGAAACACAAACACGAGTATAAAATTAATAACCATCTTACAAAAAGTTGACTTTAAACTGGTGGGAAAATCATTCGCCCCTTTGGAGAATTTTGGATCATTTTGGACCCATCCCTGATCTGATTCAGGTTGTTAACGGATTATAAATAACAGGCTGCAGATCAGAGACAATGTTTTACTGACCAGGTAGGAGCCAGTATGGAAGCCACACATGTACCACATCATCAACATGTTTGTGATGGCATTGACATCCAGACAATCGCCTTTATCGTTCTCAAAAAACGTCCAAGGAGGAGGAGAAGGGATGGAGGACAGTGGGTCCTAAAGAGAGAGACGAGTGTGCTGAGTCACTGACAGATCACTACACACCAGAATTCCTTACAAAAAATGCAACTAAACATAAAATAAAGTTGAAACAGTTAGGCACTGATGGTAACCATTAGAAAAATAAACGGTTAATACAAAATGTGATCAACATCTTAGCATTGGAAC